TAGATTCGTTATATCTAGTAGCTGGTGTAGAAGCTTCAAATCCATTTCCTCTCAGAATACATTCATAACCAGGATTACCCTATAAATGAAGAATATATCACATGACAACGTATATTCATTATATTTAGTAGCTGATATCTTATAAGAATCTAATCTTATAATCTCTGCCCTCCCTGGGAAACACTCATAACCATGTTTATCTCTTGAATATATCAACCGTTAAAGCATGCATTAGAACTAAAATCAAGGATTCAAACTTCTTATTTCCATGTTTCTTCAATAATCATCTATTTGCCATACATATAATTGCAGTTGCACTTTGACTGTGTCACCTAAACAAAATGCATTGCTTGAAGATGTAGAATATATATTAATTGCAAAGTAGTTCAGTTTACCTTCAAATCCGGAATATTGAATGCCTTCACTACAAGCGATACTGTCAAACCAACATGAACTAGAACTTTATCACTTTGTTGCTCAATATAAGGACAGTAATGACGCCCTCTTCTCCCACTACTACCAAATATATTCTGAAACGAAATTGTAATAGCTTGTACGCATGGATGTTCACTGTTTACATTAACTGAATTGTATGTGCTAATTATTATGGTCCTTCATAGTTATCATTATCGATAATTAGCTCATTCATGTAATGTTGAGGACTTACATTTTCGCCTACAACAATTGTGGAACTGTCATCCTCAGCACATATACTACTTACATGTGTACATTTGTTTTCATATACACACCAATCACATGCCCAGTTACTGCTAACACACTCTGTGCATCTGTAGATAGTAAATTGTAAACAATAACGCTGACTAATTGTTTAATGTGTGAAATATTATTTATCATGCCACTATACATAACACTGTGATTTCAATATTTAATTGTTAACTATATGTCTACTATCATAGTATAATAAAACATTTGTATATACATTATATATGTATAGATAAAACAATTATTACACTTACGAGTTGTGGGCAGAGCAATCGAAAAAATAGAATTCAGTATGTACAAACTCTTTAGTTGTTTCCACACTTTTTACAGAAAGTTGTACTGCTACGGAATCTGCCGACAAAAAAATGTCATATTGCACTTAATTTCAATTACTCTATCTAAAATATCGACAATATGTTGACAACACTGCTGACTGTATTATACGTGTTTTACTTAACCTTGTCCATTTTGTATATTGGGTCTCATGTCGGTAGGCGGTGTATCACAGGTCAAGACATTTCCAGCTTGATCAGCAGGTGTTATAAATCTGATTCCAAACATACAATGATAAGCAGGGGTTATATCATGTTCATCGGGTAGCTCAGTAACACTGAGAGCGATCTGGATAACAATATAATATTAGTTCCACGAATTGAGAATCAGTACAATGTAAAACGCGATATAGCATTACCATTATTTTGACTTACACAATCGCGATATTCGAAATACTATATCAGCAGTTAATTATTTAACATTTAGTGATGAATCTCTGTACTAATTGTATACCTGATTCCGGACTGTAATGGCAATACTAGTCATTGGTTCTATTGATGTGATATTAACACACATATCATCAGAAAACACATCTAACCATCTTGATGATTGTTGTGACAATGGACAATCACTATAAAGAGAACATCTGCAAAACCAAAAACATACACGTTTATAAAATGATGTTGTTGTATTTAAATCATAAATCTATCCTGTTTAATTTGTTATTTTCATTTGAATAGAACATTGAAAATAAATGCAACTGATGCTAACCTTTTTTCCAGTGTACACCAACCACAGTAAGGATCCATAGAGCTAAAACATTCACTGCATTTTGTATACTGATTACAGTCTTGTACCTCGACTTTGTAAAGCTACAGTCATACAGAAAGTTATTAGTCATTATGTACACTAATCTCATACTGAGTACTGATTATATAGCGAACAAGAGCAAGTGATTGTTCCATGCAATGGCGATGGCCATTCTCCATGGAGATGCCAAACGCATTTTAACCCATGTGAAACCATAGAAGAATTTGTTTCTAGTATAATTTAAAGAAAATTATTAGCAGTTTAAAATGTTTCATAGTTTCCCATTGTATTATTATTCATACAATCGGTTTGGTTTTACCAACATTATTCCTTTAATTCCACAATGTGTTATACTCACTCTATGTTGGGTGAGAACATAGACATGTTGAAAATTATTGTCAAGCGCTATATCAGACAGAAC